CCAACTTTCTTTGTTTATTTTGTCATGTGTCAATGTTGATGGGTATTTTGGATATTTAATATAAAACATATAAAACTATTATTTAAGAAACATTAAAGGAGGGTATATCAGTAAATGATTAGAAAACAAATGGTGAGAATAACAATTATTGTGGTGAATTTTGCAATACCTAAAGAAAAATCGTTAGGCCTTAACCTCGCTTATTGTGTGAAAATATTTTATGATATCTATTACTACTTAGTCCATAAAAGTTAGATATAACTAAAGAAAACAGAAAATTGAAAAAAAAATTATGTAAAATTTTTTTTTATATTTTTTATAGATTCAAATATAAGTTTTTTTTTTAAAATGAACTTATAAAATAAATATTAATAGTTATTCCATTAAGTATTTTAAAATGTTTCGATGGGGGTGAGCTTGCTTCCACCAACGCCACTCTCCAAAAGGAAAAACCCTTGAGCAGGACTACCATTCATTTTGAACAAAATTGATTGGAATAATGGCGTCGTTGTCCGTTGACTCCTAGCCAGTTTGAGGGTCCAAATTGTCTTCCTCTCTTTCTAGTTTCTACCCAGAAAAAAATTATCCAATGCTGCAAGCTTTAGCTAGTCGGCGGATTTGACTCCAAAAAGCGAGAGTAGCTTTATGGCATGCCATGGAAGGTGCAGATTTTGAGAGCCTACACTGGTTAGCTCGGATGATGGTAGCCTCAAGGTTGCCTTATAGTCTTGCATCATCATGCACTATCTTGTTGACGCACCCATTTAATTTGTGCCTCGAATCTCAACTTGGTTTACATGTTTTTTTTTTTTTTTTAACAAGTCTCACGTATAACAACCTTGATTTACAATAGGGAAAAAAAAAAAACAAAAAGCACTAATGCCTCGTCAGAACACTTTCCTAAATTTTTATATATGTTTAGTAGCATTAAAAAACTCATCAACGAAATTCTTTTTCAATAAAAATAAAAACTAAACTTTAAAACCAGAAAATTATTTTTCAATTTTTTTTTAAATTTTTTCGTGAACAACGCAAAAAGCAAAGTGCTATATAGCTTCATTATTCTTATTTATATAAATATATCAATCAAAACACTTTAAAATATATAACATCATTAGAGAATACTCTCTCTGTTCAAAAATTAAAAATTAAAAATTGTCCAATCTGAATTTATTAAAAATGTTCTTAAATATTATGTCATAGCAGCATGCTGCTTATTCCAGCTTTCTTAAAATGCCTTTTTCATATATATATATATATATATATATATATATATATATTCTTCTTTTTATTTATATATATTTTAAAATATTTGTTTGGTCAAAATTTTAAATAATACATATATTTTTTTAAAATATCTTTAATTGATAAAAAAATCAATCCTTTCTTCGTTTTTTCTTCACCGACAAAAAATCAATATTTTTTTTTAATACTTTCTCTTTATACATATAAATACCTTTAATATGAATTTTTTTTTAAAAAAAATTTGTTACATTAAAAATATTCATTCTCATGGAGACTTTATTGCATACAGAAATTTTAGAAGTAAAATATTTTTATTAATATGTTATGTTTCCATAATTGTTTTAAACTTGATTCTTAGTTGACTTAATAATTTTTTTTGTTTACCATCTTAATTTTGAATAGATTTTATCCTTAAATTAATATTAATTCTATGTAATGCATGATTAAATTTAATAACTAACAAGTTTAACAAAAAAAGTATTTTAGAAAAATATAAATAAAAAATATTAATATGACCTAACAATTAATAACTTTCTTAAATTATGTAAAAAGTTAAAAGTAATAATCTCTTTAAGATAAGGAGAGTAATTAATATATCAAGATACATTATACCTATATATTTTTTGTATTTATTTCATAATATTTATGTATTCAAAATTTTAAGCGGTGTACTTTTATCAAATATCCTTAATTAAAATCATCCTTAATTAAAGTCATCTTCATAAAAGATTTTACAAATACGATTCTATATATATGAAAAAAATATTGATATAGAATAACAATTAACAATCTCTTTAATTTGTATGGAAAAAAAAAAGACAATCCATTTAAAACAGAAGAAATAACATCCTTAAAGCTAAATGCTATCCACCTTAACGCACCGCCGCTATTGTGGGTGTTATTACCTCAGCTGCTTCCATTGCTGCCCCTTAAGCGCCTCATTACATCATCATGGGACTAAATTATTATTACATGGTTAAAAACTTAAATTATTCATTATCAACAATTTTTTTTTTCACTGAAGAAAGTAATTAACAATTTACCTAAAAAAGAAAAAAAAGTGTGTTGCTCGAGAAATTGGAGTAAATTATTAATTAGTTCCTCTATTTTTCCAAAGAAATTAATTATTTAATTATTTAATCTTTTAATTAATGTTTATGGCATATAATTTAATATTATTTTATTTTATAAAATATAATTCTTTCATCAATTCTCCTATCTTTTGTTTAATTTTATAAAATAAATTGAAAAAAAAGTTATAAGAAAATTTTAAAAATATAAAAACTAAATAATTAGTTTTTTTTTTTAAATTCAGTAATTCGTTTATAAAAAGTAGAATTGCTAGTTTACACTTGGCGAAATTGACATATAGATGATCATATGAGAAGCCTTAATCAAAAGATGGTCCTCTATGCTCTAGCTCTTGTAATATTGAAATGTCTCGTTTTGGCATTAATTGCAGGCCGGAGCCTGAATCAATCCTGTGACAGTAGCGTCACTCGCTATTCACTAAGGATGCTCATCACTTTGATCTTTATTGTTTATTTCTACAATTAGTACATACTGGAATAATTTATTTATAAACATATAGTACATTTCTCAGCTTTGATCCTTGAAAAGTTGAAATCTTTGGAGCAAAGAATCAAAAATCCCTATCACATCTTTCTTGCCTAGCCACATGTTCACTTTTGTACACTTTTTTTGGATTTTTTTAATGTCCACATTCACTTCACTGCACAGTCTGCACTGAGCAACATTCGCCAATGTCGGTTGTTCCTCAACTTTGACAACTTTTTGTCCTTTAAACTTTTACCATCAAATCCATCCATAATCCCCGTTTCTCGCTCTCTATGGCTTAATCACTACCTTTCCAAATCTGCCTCACATGCTCTAACTCCCTTGTCTTTTAATTTGAATTTAAATCAGGAATTGCTAGTATAAATTTGAGCTATATATCACCTTTTCCTAGTTCATTATATAATAATAACATATAGCTTGTCAAGGCAATGTGAGATTTGAAAGAAACGAAGATGTATCAAGTACCATATCATTAAGAAGTTCCAGCTAGAGTGGAAAATGGAATGGAGGTAAATTAGTTATACATGCCTTTTCTGTTTACTCAAGCAATATTAAGTTTACCAACCCAAAAAAAAAAAAAAAAAATCATACTTAAATCATCTATGTATGTCTGTCTGTATGGGGTGGGGTTAGATTTGTGAAGAACGAGCTGTGAAATGCCAGAAATAGAGGTAAAGTCAGTGCCTTGAAGAAAAGCAAGAAATATCCAACAGCGGTATGATGAGAGATGATGCAAAATGCAAAACGCAAAAGGCTGTTTATCTTAAAAACAAGGGAAAGGACAAAAGCCCCAAGCTAGTAGGTGGGCAGGGTTGAGTTGCTGTTTGCCAGAAAAGTAGTTATGAAATAAGCTGGTGATCCTTAGTCCATTAATTTGGAGACAAATGACCATCTTCAGCTCTTCTGCTTTAGTTTGTCTCTTAACATATATATTTTCTCACTTACATGGGTTTAGCTTATATATCATTCTAGGAAATTTCTAGAGTTTATTTTTGGTAAGGCTTTTGAACATGTGAATTGTTGCGATTGGTTTTGTTTCTGTTTTCTTGAATCACTTGCAAAACCCATTTGCTTAATTAATTAATTAATGACCTTTATAGCGACAGTTTACCTTCTTTCAGCCTTAATTCAAAGATTTTGCAAGCAAAAGATATTCAAAGATTGTTTTGGTAGGTAATGTATTTGGTTTAGAGAGAAGGGGTTTTCTTTCTCATAATCGACAGGGAGAGAGAGAGAGAGAGAGAGAGAGACAAAGTGTGTGGGGCATGTTATATGGTCCTGAATATTGGCTTTATTTCCGTGGGCACTTGTTCTTCGTGGGGAAATGATGGCTGTGCAAACGTAACTGTTGTTAATCACGTGATCCTGCCTTTTGGTTGCCGTCTCTTGATATTCTATAGCGTTCTTGCTCTCTTCTTTTCCCTGTGGAGATATGGAGTAGCAGTAGCAGTAGCAGTAGTAACCTTGAGGCTAATAAATAGTAGTAGTAGTATGTATTGTTAACTTGGTGGAGGTTATTGTTGCTTCCTGTTGTTTTATCTCCTTTGTATCTTTGTCTGTATTGGGTTCTGCTCTTTCACATCATTCGTGCTGGACTGGCCTTCTAGCTTTGATTAAATTACAAGAAACAGTCAAGTATCAGTTTCTGTCCCTTCAAATTGTTTGTAAGATTAAACAAGTGGGGGCATTAAGAGAGGTGGGGCCTTCTGCATTTATGATATGCTCCCTCTCTCTCTCTCTCTCTCTCTCTCTCTCTCTCTCAATAATTCTAGCTAGTGTATAAGTTCGAGCTTTCATTTTTTTTGGCTGGTTTCCAAGTTTTTACCGGAAGTTAGGAAGTGTTTGTCACTTGGTTTTGAGTTTGCTTGTGTAAAATTGTAAATGAAGATGTGCTCATTTTTCTAAGAGTTGGTGGGGGATGTGATAGAGGTATGGATGGCATGTGGGTTTAGTGGAAAGTTGATTGAATGTGACCTCCTTTTATCCCCTTTATTTGCGGGTGTTAAAGCTCTGATATGCATGGATAGCCTTTCAAATTTCATTTTCACTTGCGTTTTCAAATTTCTCATTCTATTTTAGTGAGTACTCAATCAAATTATATGTTTCCCTGCAGATCTACTGCTAACTTCTTCCAATAACAGAAAAAGATTCAGTTTGAAGCTTGAGGCAAAGGAGCCATGGATCTTGAGCATGGCATGTGTTGGGATACTTCAAAGGTTTGTGCATTTGCATTTTGAGCTCAACTTTGTGGCACTCTACTTTCTATTGCATTTCCAATTGGAATTTTAGAATTTGGGCCATTTAAAATGGCATAATGTCTTAAGACTCAAATTCAGTTGTTAGCATAGGTCACTTGACATGCTTCTGCCACCTGGCTTGATTCTTAAGAGTTCTGCTTCTGAAATTGCATTGCAGAAGGATTCTTGGAAGACATTGTTGCTTTTGGCTTATCAGAGCCTTGGAGTAGTATATGGGGACTTGAGCACTTCCCCTCTCTATGTTTACAAGAGCACATTTGCAGAAGACATTCAACATTCAGATACTAATGAAGAGATTTTCGGTGTTTTGTCTTTTGTTTTCTGGACTCTCACTCTGGTTCCCTTATTCAAGTATGTCTTTGTGGTCCTTCGAGCAGATGACAATGGAGAGGGTAAGTGTGGAGCAATTATGCAATTTTTTGTGTCACTCGATCATCAAATTTATTTTTATTGTATTTGTTTCAATAGGAGGCACTTTTGCGTTGTATTCATTGATATGCCGGCATGCGAAGGTTAGCCTTCTTCCCAATAGACAAGTTGCAGATGAAGCACTCTCCACATACAAACTGGAGAACCCTCCAGAGAAGAAGAACAACTCAAGGGTTAAAATGTACCTTGAGAAGCACAAGGGCTTGCACACTGCTTTGCTAATCTTGGTTCTTCTTGGCACTTGCATGGTAATTGGAGATGGACTGCTCACTCCGGCAATTTCTGGTAAAATTCTTTCTAGCAACACTTCATTACGATTTTGGCATCACTCTCATTTCATTGGCTAGGAATTGATTCTAAAATCGTTTCTTTTTTATTTATTTTGCAGTTTTCTCTGCAGTGTCTGGTCTCGAGCTTTCGATGTCCAATAACCATCATCAATGTAAGCTTCTTTGCTGAATTGAGCTGAAGCATTTAAATATTTTATACAGAGTCATTAAATAGTTGACGATATTCAAACCTAAAAATAGATTTCTGTTTCTAAACCAAATATGTTGGAGGAAACGTCTGCTGCAATGGGAGCAGGTTAATGTCCACAAAAATAGCTGGCTATTTCACTCTAGTTAATTATCATATAACTGAGGTTTCTGAACCATTATTTATGATCATTATGGAGTAGGGGAAGAAAGGCTATGGTTTTATGAGAACATGGGAAATGTGCAAATGTTATCAAGGTGATGTAAATTATTCAAGAGTAAGATGGTGTCTGTGTAGGGCCTCTATAAATGATAAAGAATGGGAGGGGGTCCGCTTTAGTCATTCTGATCCAGTTGGTGAACAAGTTGGCCTGAAGGTTGGGGACTATTCAATCGCCCATCTTGTGGCCTTGATTGATTGTCTCCCCCAATTTCTTATCCCTTTCTAGTCTAGGGCATGCGGGTAAACAACTATGGAAGTGATAATGTGAAATTGGTAGAGTAATATGTTACACTTATTACTGCATTTTTTTATGTTGCTAAGTTGAAATTGGTGAATGGGAGGAGTAAATCAAATTCCTAAGATGAATTCAAACTGATTAAAGGCTATCAATGTTATTTGCAATGGCAGAAAAGGAAATAACCAAAACTATAGTAGTGTATCAGCGTTGTTTTTACTAATTTATTTATTTATTTATTTTTATTTATTTATTTATTTATTTTTTTGGTGGGGGGGGGGGGGGGGTTGCGGTTTGTGAAGGGGGATACGATATTACAAGTAACTGATTGTTTCTTATTTGAGCAACTCCTTCAGTTCACTTGAAAGAATCCACGTTACTATTGAAACTTGTGGCCCATACTCGCTTCAGTATCACACTGCTGAAATTCTCAATGAATGATTTTTTTATCTTTTCTCTTTATGTCTGCATAGCCAGGCAGGCATTAGAGAATGGATGGAAACATCTTATCCATGGAATAGAGGAGCTTACTTCAACACCAAGTGAGACTGATAAATATTTTCGATGAATGTCTTTCTGAAACAGTTAAGTTTCAAAATATATAAGAAAGTTGTGACAAACTTGGATGTTTGTTCAGAGAGTTTCTTCTTCACTAGAAAAGGCTGTAGTTTTGCTTATTTTCCTGCAGGAGTGTTAACATTTCCAACTTAATGTTCATCATGAAGAAAAAATGGTACATCATGGCTTAGGACATACATTATGAAGGCTACTAGTTTAGACCATAGATATTATCATTTATATGCTATTTCATTGTTAACTTTTATTTCATGTAGCTCTGTTTTTGCCTTCCATTTTGCAGATGCAGTAGTTCCAATCACTTGCTTCATCTTGGTGTGCCTTTTCGCACTTCAACACTATGGCACGCATCGGGTGGGATTTCTCTTTGCACCAGTTGTTTTGGCATGGCTGCTATGCATCAGTGCCCTTGGCCTGTATAATATAATCCACTGGAACCCACACGTCTATCAAGCTCTTTCTCCATATTACATGTTCAAGTTCTTGAAGAAAACGAAGAAAGGCGGGTGGATGTCTTTGGGCGGAATATTGTTGTGCATAACAGGTTTTTGTTTGCCTTCTTCCTTCCTGCATGTTTGACTGGATACCAATTTTTAAGCTCTCCCTGTTCTGTGTTTGCTATATCTTGCTAGGCCAATAACAGGAATATATATATATATATATATATATATATATATACACCATGATTTAAAATTGATGGATAAAGAACTTTCTGAATGGTTCAATCTTTACATAATTTAGCTACCAAGCACCAATGTTCTGTGTGACTGTGTATACAGGCTCAGAGGCAATGTTTGCTGATCTTGGCCACTTCTCATATGCTGCAATTCAGGTAAGTCTTGACACTTTTATGGTCTTTCAGAATCTTGTCTGGTCAAGAAAGTCAGTGCTGAATGATGTTAAAGTATCCTAATCTTTGACCCATTTCAGATTACATTCACCTTTCTGGTTTATCCAGCCCTTACATTGGCATATATGGGGCAAGCTGCTTATTTGTCACAGCATCATGACAACACAAATCATATTGGCTTTTATATTTCAGTCCCAGGTATGTCTTCAGTATTCCTTTCTAAGGAAATTTCAAGGTTCAACATGCATGTAATTGATAGAGGACTGGCTGAAGGATGAATTAGTATTTTGGTCGCAGAATTACTATGATATGCAAGCTAATTCAGATTAAAATGAATTACGAGGCCCTAGCACTTAGAAGGGAAAAAAAAAATGCAACATTTCCAACAATTTGTGCTTATACTTCACTGTTTAGTTACTTTTCAGGGAGAATACATAATGACAATTTTCTGGAACAGGAAAGTTAAGGATCCCAGTCCTCATAATAGCTATCCTTGCTTCTGTCGTGGGAAGCCAAGCGATCATCAGTGGAACATTCTCTATCATAAACCAGAGTCAGTCACTTGGCTGTTTCCCAAGAGTGAAGGTTGTTCACACTTCTGACAAGATACATGGCCAGATTTATATCCCTGAGATCAATTGGATGCTCATGATCCTCTGCATTGCTGTGACCATTGGATTTAGAGACACCAAGCACATGGGAAATGCATCAGGCAAGTTGCACCTTCTAATCCTACTGAGGTTCATAATTTTGTAACTTGCTGTTTAATTATAGGCAAACTGAAGTAAGTTGCACTATTTAATTTTCTAACCCCAACACATGCACTTATTAGATTGGAAATTGAAGTTCATTTCTGTTGATACTTGATAAGAAACAATGTGAATATTAAGCTTAAATCTTCTGTGACAAGCCTACCACTATTTGATACCATCGGTCTAATTTCAGCATTAGCCTTATTATGTTGTAGTATTTGAAGTTCAACATTAAAATTAGATTAGTAATGAGGGATTTGTTGAACTTAAAGTTTTACAGTCTCGTTCTTAACTGTTGCAGGGTTAGCAGTGATGACAGTGATGCTAGTGACAACATGCCTTACTTCCCTGGCTATCATCCTTTGTTGGCACAAGCCTCCTATTGTAGCGCTATCCTTTCTACTTTTCTTTGGCTCCATTGAGTTGCTCTACTTCTCAGCATCACTAACCAAATTCACTGAGGGTGCATGGCTCCCCATCCTTCTAGCCCTCTTTCTGATGACCATCATGTTTGTTTGGCATTATGCCACCATTAAGAAATATGAATTTGATCTCCACAACAAGGTATCACTAGAATGGCTTTTAGCCTTGGGTCCAAGCTTGGGAATTGCTAGAGTCCCTGGCATTGGCTTAGTTTTCACTGATCTCACCTCTGGCATCCCAGCTAACTTCTCACGCTTTGTCACCAACCTCCCTGCCTTCCACCGTGTCCTTGTCTTTGTGTGCATAAAATCAGTGCCTGTGCCTTATGTGCCCCCTGCAGAGAGGTATCTTGTCGGTCGTGTGGGTCCTCCTGCTCATCGGTCTTACAGGTGCATTGTCCGTTATGGATATCGTGATGTGCACCAGGATGTTGATTCTTTTGAATCAGAGCTTGTTGCTAGACTGGCTGATTTCATCAACTATGACTGGCATCGAACGCATGGTACTAACTCATTTCCTGATGACGATGCATCTCAATCTAATGAATCTTCAAATGATTGTAGATTGGCGGTGATTGGAACCGTCTCTTTCTCTGGCGTACCAGCTTATGAGATTGAGGAGAGTGTGCAGCCAGCAAGTGTATCTGGTGGTTTCCCAACGGTCGTAAGTGTGACAGATGTTATTGAAATGGAACCTGTTGGGATAAGAGAAAGAAGAGTGAGGTTTGCTATAGATAACGAGTCTGAAACCCCTTCAGCAGTTGGTATGGATTTGCAGTTACAAGAAGAGCTAGAAGACTTGTTATCAGCCCAACAAGCTGGTACTGCCTTTATACTAGGGCACTCTCATGTTAAAGCAAAACAGGGATCATCAGTTATGAAGAGATTGGCTATTAATTTTGGGTACAATTTCCTCAGGCGGAACTGCCGAGGGCCAGATGTGGCGCTCAAGGTGCCACCAGTGTCTCTTCTTGAGGTCGGCATGGTTTATGTTTTGTAAGATTCCTGTGTAAGTAGTTTTTGTCCGCTTGTTTTTATGTGGTGGAGGTAAACTGAAGAGTAGAGTGAGGAAAAGGGTGTATGACTCTATATGTAGACCAACAAGTAACTCTTTCTCAGAGAATGATTTGTCATTAACCATAAAATGCATTATGTTATAGAAAGATGAAATTAGTCAGAGATATATAACCCATAGTTGTGGTTTGATCAAACCTTTTGGTGATGTTCGTAGGGGCTAGAATTCAATTCTGCTACTTTTTTCTTCTTTTCCTCTGCTTGTACAGTTTTCCTGCTTTACTATTGTTTTCGTGCCCTCCCGACTCCCCATTGGCACTCACTCTTAATGAGTTGATCTTACTCCCATGGTGGACTATCTATCTGCCATCCACAGCAGAAATTACTCAACTCAAAAACGCAATGGGGAATTTCTTTCTCTATTCGTTTTGTTGTGTGGTTGCTGTTCAAAGAAATGGATTATTACCAGGACTCTCGAGTGTTTTTGAATTAACAAAATGACAGTGGACAACAAGACAAATGCAAAATCCGATCCCTTCCAATTCTAGCCATTAATATTCTACTCCATTTCGCGTACGCACAAATGCATGTGTGTAAAGAAAGACTCGATGTTATTTATCATTTTGAGAGAGGAGAATAATTTGTCAGTCATGACATGTTTGACCAAATTGCAAAGCCAATTGGGCCTCTCAATTTTGTTAGCTTGGGAAAGGACCACGTAGTTTTCCTCGAACCACCAAATCTTTTGGGTGGCAACCATTCTATGAGCAATTTGCCCTTTGCTGTAAATAAGTGGTTCTGCTTAGCAGACTAAACACAGCCCCAGTAAGATATCAAAGCAACTTAAATAGTTGTGGAGTGGGAACTGGGAATTGAAACTGCTACAATTTGGGAAAAGGCAAAGATGGGACTAAGAACTCTTCCCTTGTCACCTTCACAAAATTGTTTCCCTCCTCATGTAGGTGTTACACCTCAGAACTTGTCTAACCATAGGCCCAACAAGAGCTCAAACTTCAGAATTTCAGCTAAAACGGAGAGCAGTGACGAGGAAGAGGCCAAGAAGAGCAAGCAGTCTTTGTTTAGCAGTTTAACTGAAGCTCTAGATTTCTCTCAAGTTCGGTCTGAGAAAGATGCCGAACTTCTAGACGAGGCTAGAGAAAACACCCGGTCTGGTGGCAGAATGACAAGGGAACAGGTATTCTAACATTGAAAGTATTGGTTCATCGTGGATATAGTTTGGGTTTAATAATAGTCTATGTTGGATAGCGTATGTAGTAGTATATATGGTGACTGGTTTCTAATTCCTCGCATGCAGTATGGTGCTCTTAGAAGAAAAATTGGAGGGACATACAAGGATTTCTTTAAATCCTACATTGAGGGTATGTTTCTTTTCATTTTCTGGTTAGATTTTTCAGGTATATATGTATATATTGTGCCCTTGTCTTGTGCACACCAATATTTCCCATTTGCATCAAAATTAATGCATGGAGTTCCTGCCACTTAAGATTTAAAGACCAATTTATAATTCATTTAGGCAGATTATCAGCAATGGGAACTACCCTCTCTCTTGTTACTGCAGATAATGAATATTTATAATTTACAAAGACAAATAGATGAATAGTTTTGTAATATCTCTATGTTGCTGTGCGGACCTAAATTATGAACTATAGATTTTCTCATTTCCTTGTATCTTAAATCAAAAACAACTTCAACCAGTTCGTATGAGCTACTAAATCATTAAGTTATTTGCATCTTAATCATTGATTTGAATTACAAGTATCTTAAATCGCTTCAAACTTTACTTAAATTTTATTTGGAGCCTCAAAAAGGAACCTGCAGCCCACTAAAAACTGTGAGGAAGATGGTTCCTGCATGGAATACAATACAATAGATAACAATACTCGAAAGCTTTACTAATTAAGCTCTTAACTTTTTCTGTTTCTATTTTTCGTCATGAAATTAGTGGATGGGCAATACGTTGAAGAAGGTTGGGTTGACAAAACATGCAAGGTCTGTAAGAAAGATACTAGAGGTGAGCCAAGGCAGGTGGACAAGTTGGGAAGATATGTTCATGTAGCATGCCTGGAGAAGGCCAACTCCGGGAACTTTTTCACAAGACTTTTCTCGAGATGAGAGGGAATGGTACCGAGTGAAGTTTTCTTTCAGTAGTTATGATATTTGATAAAGAATTTACCGGAGAATTGCCTTGTATCATGACTCTCATTGAAGCAATTATTTTATATGTTCGACCTTCGAGTCAAAATTTCACATATCCTAATTACAGAGATGCCTAATGAGAATTGATGATAAAAGTGGAACATAAATGCCATTTTTTCTATAGTTAGCTCTGACCTTTCATTCAAACAATCTTTATTTGCTGTAGAGAGTACACCTCATAGTTTTAAATAGCGAACGATTGAAAAAACGATCGTAGTCATCATCACGGATCGTGGATTATTATAAAACTAAAATAACGATAATGAGATGCTCCGAAACTGTTATATAACATAACGATTATTATTTAAAACTATGGTACACCTACTCCTAACTCAGCTGACTCTTGGAGCTTTAAGTTGTCATGCCATTTGAACTTAAAAATTAGCACCAAAAGAAATCTGAGTTATAGGAGAACTGGCTAACTGAATTATCAACTGAAGTTACATTTCATATTAGTCCACAAAAAAAAAAAAAAAAGAAAAAAAAAAGATTAAGAAGCTTCAATTTGTTTCAGCAGGACTATACGAATATCTGCACGTGCAGAAGGCAACCTGTGAAGACCATATAAAATGCGTGAGCATGAATATTGCATTTGAGACATCCCCACGCTCTTTTCAGAGGCTATCTTTATGCCATTTACTTATAAACCTGCCTGGCATGACACTTCTAGTAGGGCTTGATTATTTCATGTTGCTCATTGTTTCTTCAGCAATTTGGCTCGTCTTTACATGACTTGAACATCATTCCATTTATGGCTATTGGTCAACTGCTGTGTGTCTTCTCGTTCGTTTTCACGATTGGACCAATCTGTGCAGGTTAGTAAAACTTTAGTAACTTGATCCTCTGTGTTCATTTCGAGTTCTATATGATTATGCAGCATATGCAGAGGCCATTTTTGCTATCCTTTTGGAGGCCCCTGCCTTCTCATAGTCCAATCTTCTGATAAAATGCATGAACTAAGCTGCTAAATTATGAATTATTCTACAATTAACTAAACAAATTTATAACTCCAAGCTAATTGTTGAAAGCCTTGCCTGGCTATTGCTGCTAATTGAGCCCAATTAAATTTTCAGTACTGATTGGCCACCACTCACCAGCAATGCTTTTAGTAAGATGCTAACATGCTTGAATTTTCCTCAACTAGGCAGTCCCATGACCAGGATAGGAGTATGCTATGGAATGCTAGGTGACGACTTACCATCACCAAGAGAAGTAATTTCAATGTACAAATCTCATCAAATTGGACGGATGAGACTTTACGATCCAAATCCCTCGGCATTGGAAGCTCTTCGCCGGTCTGGAATCCAAGTTTTGGCTGGAGTTAGAAATGAGGAAATTCAAGAACTTGCAAGCTCCTACACTGCAGCAGACTATTGGGTAGAGAGATTCATCAGGCCATACTGGCCTGATGTCCATTTTCGATACATTGCAGTTGGAAATGAAGCTATCCCAGGAAATTATTCTCAGTATATCCTCCCAGCAATACAGAACTTACATAATGCACTAGGCATTGGGGGTCTTTGGCACCATATTAAGGTCTCCACCTCAGTAGCCACAACAGTCATGGGTGTGTCCTACCGACCCTCGGCAGCAACCTTCTCGTCGGAAACTGTGAACTATATGGTGCCCATTGCACGCTACTTAAATAGCATTGGTGCTCCACTGTTGGCCAATGTCTATCCATACTTTAGCTACGTTGCAGAGCAGAGTGACATTTCATTAGACTACGCGTTGTTCACTTCCAGGAATGCTGTCGTACGCGATGGTGACTTGAATTATTACAACTTGTTTGATGCCATACTTGATGCATTACATTCATCCCCGTAGAAGGCCGGAGCATCTCTAGTCGCGGTGGTAGTGTCGGAGACGGGCTGGCCCTCGGCTGGAAATGGGCAGGTAACAAGTGATGGAAATGCAAGCCTAACTCGAACCTAGTGAGGCATGTGTTGTCCTCTAGTGGCACTCCAAAATGGCCAGGGAAGCCGATTGAGACTTACTTGTTTGCTGTGTTTAATGAGAACAGGAAGGTAGGAGCAGCAGTAGAGCAGCACTAGGGTTTGTTTTATCCAAACAAGCGGCCTGTTTATCCCATTAAGTAGCCTCATGTAGAAATCTTAACGTGAGCTTCGTTAACCGGGCTCAAGCTCAGGCATACGTGCCATTTCTTAGTTTGAACTAATTTGGATTGTTACAAGTTAAAAGACATGAATAGAAGATGGCTTAAACATTATTAACAAAAACAACTAAAGCAAAACTACAAAACATTGTATTCTTACTGCTCATGCAAGCTAACACCATCGTGCTGCTACACTCAGCTAGCCTTTGATTAAGAGTACTCACCAATGGTTTTTTAAAACCAGGTGCCCCGACCCTGTTTCTCGCATATAATATGAAACATCATTATTTTTCGTTATATAACAATAAGATGCAAATTTTATTTAAAAAATAAATGAACGGTTGAAATTCAATCAGAGATAGAGATAAGACCAAAATGGTAGAGACCAACTTGCAACCTAATTAATTCAATGAATAAGAATATTTGCAGGCTTGAATAAATTAAAAGTAAATCCTTTTACTTTGAAAAATAATTTAGTTAGTCATTTTTATTTCATAAACCAATAATTTAGTTATTTTCGTTCATTTCATATTGCTATCTAATTTATTTTTCATTTTAAAAGATAGAAAAAAATCCATACCATGAAAAGATTGATGAAAAACTTATAGAATAAGATATATTATGTTAAATATAATCAATAGTGATTAAAAACTGAAATAATTAGTTTTAAAACAATTAAGGATTAATTAATTTATTTATCAAACTAGAGGGACTAATGTATAATTTACATTTTATAATTCTGTTTTGTCTGAATGTCTGTCACTAACTCTCTCTTGAACTCTTGTGCCCACAATTCCAGCCGCTGGGCCGGGCTTGTCGAAAGCAGTGAGCTCACGTGAAGGATCCACATGAAGGATCCAAAGAATCCAAAGACAGTGAAGCACAGGTCTATACTGTTCAACATAAAGGATCCAGAGAATCCAAATTTGAGAAGGAAAGTTCTACTTGGACAGATTAAGCCAGATTAGCTTGTTGCTATGACATAAGAAGAGATGTGGCAAGCAATCAAAGGCAATTCGAGAACGAGCAAATCAGGGTGAAATCTTTGGGCAAGGTGAAGGAGAAAGTAGAACTAGAGGACAAATCAATTGATCCTATGGAATATTGTGGCATTTATAGCTTGTAGTCAAGATGCATGCACGATGCAATTATTTTAGCAACTAATGATGCTACTGTACGGTAAATCCAATATAAAAGTTTTTGGTTGTTTCATATGTTTTTCAAATCTGTATAATGTAAATTTTGTTTGTCTAGCATTTTATTAATGACAATTCAGCTTTAGTCAAGTGATGTTGCTTGAAGTAGTTTCATGCATTGAAAAATACAATGTTCAATGAAAGTTTTCTGTTGGGGATATGAAGCTATGGAATGAGAGGTTGTTTCTTGTTGTCAGACGATATCCCACTATTCAGAAGATAGATTAAGCTTTATGTATTTAGAAATGCATTTGTTTTGTTCTGTTCTGTTCTGCAAGTTTTGTAGCTAGCTAGATTGGTTTAAGATACCGAAGTATTAACTTGTCAATGTGTTATATCAAAGTCACAATGATCAGCTATTTACTTGTGTTTTATAAAAGGGATTTATTTCCAATTCAATAGAGTAAAAATTGGATTAAGAAAGTTTCACACCTTCGATGATCTAAATCTTCTTAAAAACAAAAACCTTGCATCTTCATTGGCTAAAGTCCATTTATTCTTCTTGTTTCAATTCTTCTTTATGCTTTGACATGTCCGGAGCACCTAATGTAGGAAGCCTTATGAGTTGTGACTCCACCAATATTTGTAACCAACAGAATCTCATATTATTCTGGTTTAGAGTAAATGATTTTTGTGTCAAGCCCCTTTTAAAGGGAATGGAGAAATAGAATGAACAAAACAGATAAATAAAAGGGAAAAGTACTATCCAATTTCACTTTTTTATTCATCGTTTCATTTTAAATGACAAACCTTTTTTGGTCTCTTAATGACCGCCTGGATATCAACTACAAAAGAGAAATCAAGAGTTTCTCTCAAATGTTGCACATTTACCCAAGTTAATATTTTGGCCTCTTAACCCACCAAACCTGTGACAAAAAAGCAATATGTAAACCAAGCTATTCTATTTCCCTGCCCTCATTCTTGCAATGTTCTTCTCCCATAAACAAGTTTCATCAAACATTGTCTTCATGACAGCAAGAAACTGTGTCCAAAACGATCAGCTCACCATTCCAAATTCTTTTTTTTTTTTTTTCAACCAAACAGAAACAGTACCCAAACCAATTTTATTAATTAGAGAAAAAAATACAACAAGGGGACAAACCAGCCTTACCCAAATAAGAGGGGGACAAGGAAGCCTAACCTCTACAACGTGTAAAACACGACAATATCATATTTTCTATAAATATATATATCAAATCTATCATGCTGGAAGGCATTACAAATTTCTCCAGTGCAACTCATCATAACTATTAAAAGTGCATGTTGATTTGAGCTAATGGGCCAAATTTGCTACCCCATTCGGCTACAACATTCGCTCTCTAAGAATATGCGTGAATGTATAAGAATTATCGAGGTGCCGACAATAACGAATTTGATGGATATACATCCATGTTGTCCTTTTTTTTTTTTTTTTTTTTTTTTTTGTTCGAGCTAAAGAGTCCGATTCCATACATAAGAGAGAGATTGGCACAATCTAAGACCATCCTTGAGAGCATATATCTCCGCTTTCATGCTATCACCCGCATCATAAAAATTAGAAGAGGTCGAAATAAGTTGGTCATCTTTTCCTCTAATTACGCCTCATCCATTGCAAAAAACCACTC